TAAGGTAATATGACAGTCAACATCCAAGCTTGATAAGTCGTACTGCACTTTCTGAAGAGAGCTGTACCGTGCCTTGGACTGTGTCAAGCCGTGTTCCCGGCTATACTCTGTACTGGGCGGGATCAAGGTGATTTCAGCTGACATTTATCTTTCACCATGAAGATGTAAAAATGAAAGTGTTCTTCCACTGTAGCCTGAGAAACCTCTGGTGATGTGGGGCAATGGGTACATGAGAATTGACATCCTACAAATCTGTAGAAATCATCCCATGTACTAGGAATACTGCCTTTATGATGAAGAATGATCAAGAATCCTGTAAACTTATGTAGAGCTAGAATGGATCTCCATCTGCCTGTTAGGAACAGAATCTTTGTGTTCTAGACCATCTATGCTTCATGGAGTCTCAGAGAGATCCTGCATTGTTGAACAGGCAGAGTTGAACATTTAGCCAGTCTAAGTACTTCATCGTCCACTTAGGAGCAGAGTCCCAGGTACAAACATTTGATATCCCAATGGATGAAGACTTGTTGAAAACTGCAGTGTAGAACTATTCCTCCATAATAAGGATCCTAATGGTACTAGGAACTTGAAAAGATGCCCTGTTCTTTTTGACATCCAAAAGAAAGGCTAGAGCTAGAAGGCTTGACCTTAGAAGATTCTGTCAGATAGAAGGATCTATGGATTTTACTTTTACAAGGCTCGCTTATCATATGCCTCACAAAGGATCCTTAAGAGTGAGTCCCTTGTATGATCGGGATGATTTTCTTCCTATAGGGCTTGTTTGGTAACCACAGAAAAAATTAGAATGGCTTACCTATGTTTCTTATAGTGTGAGCTTTTTTTCTGGGAGCAGACGGATCTGATTCCATAACTGCATAACGTTCTTATTTTATCCTTAGCAAAGCAAATCTCTACTAAAAGAGCAGAGATTGATAGATACACAAAAACATGTAATATAACTTTAATATGGGAAAAAACATATAGAGGGATAGTCTTGGCTATTTTCAGGCTACTAAACCTGACCCCGAACCCCACTGAAGTTAATGGGGACCCGAACTTTTAGGCACAAATTGCCTCTAAAAAAGTCCTGGAAAGGGCTAGAGTAGGACAAGTGCCCTGCAAACAAATGTGGATATGGAAATCACTTAAAATAACATAAAGTACATAAAAATTAAAAATACAGCTGACCCATAAAATAGCACTAGATGGAATCTTTGATTTTAGCTTTGGAAGAACATAAATCAAAATCTAAAGCATGGCTGTCAGGAGGTTCACCAGAATTATCCATTTGAGAGAGGGTTGGAGTGCAGGGTATTCTCTTTCATTGATCAAAATGAGCTCAACTCCTGATGCATGGAGAAAAGACCTTCACAAGCCTCTGCTATTGTGTACATAGTTTATACTAAGTGACCCATAGGTTGAGGTGGCGGTGTAGGTGGAAGCGGAGGAGGTAGCCAACACTGTTTTTTTTTTTTTATTGGGGTAGCCCCCAAAATATTGGGACATATAAAAAAAAAATAAACATTTGCGGCCTGCGGTGCATTTCTTGCAGTCCAATAACGCCATCAGGTTTTTAAAACTGTCCATCTCCACCAGACGGAATGACAGCATTTCAAAGGCCAGGAATTTTGAAATGCTGGCATTCAGGGCCAGGGATCCTGGGTGGGTAGGGGGGTACCTCCTCTTTCTCTCCAGTGTTTGGGAGATGGACAGCTGAACGCATCCATGGGACAGTGTGGAGATGCTTGGGGACGGTGGCGGACGTGGTGGCATTGCTGCCACATCCTCTGTTTGCGGGGTGGCAGGTGCCACTGTCACTCCAGAGGTGGAGGAAGAGGCCGAGACAGCAGCAGAAGAGGAAGCAGGAGGAGCCTGAGACCTTTCTTAGTTTTTCAGGTTCTTACTCCACTGCAGCTCGTGCTTTGCATGTAGATGCCTGGCCATGCAGGTTGTGCTAAGGTTTAGCACGTTTATGCTTCGCTTCAGGCTCTGATTGCACAGCGTGCAAACCATTCGTGTCTTGTCGTCAGCACATTGAAGAACTGCCACGCCAGGGAACTCCTTGGAGCTGGCTTTGGTGTGCTCGGTCCCTGGATGCGGTGGGCAGTAGCAGGCGTACTGTCTAGGGGACGGCTTCTCCGCTTTTGCACCCTGCTCTAGGAGGAGGAGATGGATGTGGATTAGGAGGTTGAGGAGGTGGTGACCGTGGCGGTGTAGGTGGAAGCGGCGGTGGAGGCGGAGGAGGTAGCCAACACTTTTTTAGTTTTTATTTGTTTTTGGTTTTTTTGTTTGTTTGTTTTTTAATTGGGGTAGCCCCCAAAATATTGCGACATATCAAAAAAGAAACATTTGTGGCCTGCGGTGCATTTCTTGCAGTCCAATAACGCCATCAGGTTTTTAAAACTGTCCGTCTCCACCAGATGGAATGACAGTATTTCAAAGGCCAGGAATTTTGAAAGGCCAGGAATTTCTCTCCAGTGCTTGGGAGATGGACAGCTGAACGCTTCCATGGCACAGTGTGGAGATTCTGAACAGTTGTGTACCTGGCCTATGCTGGTGCATGCAGGAACCCACCCTCCGAGCCACTTGTGAATGACTGGCCTGATAACCGTGGAAATGACCCCTCTTCCTCCTCCTCTTCCTCCTGTGCCACATCCTCTTCCATCATCGCCCAAAGCTTTTTTTCAAGCAGACATAGAAGCGGGATATTAAGGCTGAGAACGGCATCTTCTGCTGTCGTTTCCCCCTGGCTGTGCTGAAGTTGGTGGTGAAGGTGTTACTGTCACGTATTCATCCGCTTATAAAAATGTGGTTAATTTCATTTACTGTCAACACATGAAGAGTTGTGGTGAGCAGCAACCAAATCCACATAAGGGTTAATGCTGAGCAGCAATTATGCAAATGAGAACCTGGTAACTGCCTTTGGAGTCAAAGGCCAGTTACAGCCTATCAGATCTAAAGGAGGGGTATTTAGGCCCAGTTCTCATCCTGCTCAGTGCCCTGTCGTGGTTTCCCTTGTGGTTGTCCGAGAGCGCGTTATTTATTTTTGTTATTCTGGATATTTGACTTTGGCATTGTTTTTGACTTCCCTGTTTTCTGGCATCCCTGACTCCTGGCTTTTCCTTATCATTGTGTCTCTTTCTGTATCCCTTGACCTCGGCTATTACGGACTATTCTTTGGTACGTTAGTCTGGCCATTCTAAGGTCCGGTTTACGTTACCTATCAGTCCTCTGTGTTACACAATTCTACGTGCTGGATCATTCTGTAATCCTGACAGTTACGCTGACTGGATGAAGAGGTGGTAGAGGAGGAGGAGGAGGAGGAGGAGGAGGAGGAGGAAGAAGCTGGGTAGGAGGAGGAGGCAACAGGAGGCAAAGCTGTGTACCCAAATAAAGATTGTCAAACGTTGTATCCTGGAACTGTGTCCCATCCGGTTACTGGGGAAATGGGTCTGACCTATTCTAATCAAAAGGGAAAAACATCGGTTACCCAGGTCCCGCTTCAATTGGTGGCAAGCGGCGGGATCCCATGTCCCTGCCAACAGACCCATGGACTACAGTGCTCTAAAGCGACCTACACTGCAGGACTTGTGTGGAGCCAGAGGAATAACGCCTGTTGGGTGTAACAAAGCCAAATTGATTGCTGCGCTCATGGAGGATGACCAGGCATGCAGTGAGGCAACGAACCCCAGCCAGGGGCCGAAGATGAGGAGGAAGTGCGCAAGGAGGTGGACTGGCGCCTGGCATATTACCGAGAGCCACCCTTAGAGGAGATCGTCAGCGGGACCTTTTTGAAGGTGCAAGCCTATGTCCTTGCCAATAGACAGAGGGCGACCTCCATGAACCCAGATGAAGGAAGAAGGGAGAAGAGGGTGCCAGGAAGCACAACCACCCTGGCCCAAAGAGTTCAAGGAAGCAGAGGAAGGCATTGATGATGTTTTACAAGACTTTGAGCGCCAGTGCCTACTCCAAGACGTGGACCCCAGCGACTGGGTCACCATCCTGGCCAGCAAACTAGTGGGGAAGGCAGTGGATATTTAACGGGCTGTACCAGAAGAGCAGATCAGAGACTATCCCTTTATTACACAAATCCTCCTTGCCCGGTATGAGGTCACCCCCGAGCAATATCGCCAAAAGTTTAGGGAGACCCGGAAAGGGGAAGGACTCCCATGTGGAGTGGGCATGCTGCATCACAAGGAAGTGTCTCAACTTCCATCAAGCCAAGTTCCCGGAGGAGATCACCAAGCTCGTCATGCTAGAGCACTTTTTCAATGGGCTCCCCAACGACACGGCTGGTGAGAGACCGCTAGCCCCAAAACCAGACCCAAGAAGTATGGGTATGAGCTGCTGAAGCTAGATCACAATATCCCCTTGGCAGGGCAATTGGGCAGGAGCCAGACAGCGTCTCGGCTCACCCACAGCTTCTTCTGGCCAGGCATCTTTCAGGATCTGAGGCAGTACTGCCAGATGTCTGCCAGAGATTGGGGAAGAGAAGGGCCCCCCTCCATCTCCTACCTAATAGTAAAGATCCGTTCGGCAGAGTAGCTGTCGACATTATAGGTCCCCTAACCAAGCCTAGTCCCTCTGGAAAGAAGTACATTCTGACCATTGTGGACTACGCAACTCGGTACCCTGAGCAATATTCGGGCAGAGACTGTGACTGAAGCCTTGATGCAAGTGTTCTCCCAGATGGGTTTCCCCTGGGAGATTCTCTCAGACCAGGGCACCCAGTTTACTGCTGAAATGACCCACCAACTGGGAGATTGTGCACATTAAACCAATCCTGAGCTCCACTTACCACCCCCAGACCAATGGCCTGTGTGAGCGCTTCAACGGTACGTTGCGGTGACTCACAAGGATTGAGAGAGATTCCTGCCCCATCTCCTGTTTGACTAACGGGAGGTGCCACAGGAATCAACTGGGTTCTCCTCGTTCAAACTGCCACACCAGGGAACTCCATGGAGCTGGCTTTGGTGTGCTCGGTCCCTGTGTGTGGTGGGCAGTAGCAGGCATACTGTCTAGGGGACGGCTGCTCTGCTTTTGCACCCTGCTCTAAGAGGAGGAGGTGGATGTGGAGTAGGAGGTTGAGGAGGCAGTGACCGTGGCGGCGGCGACGCATTCGGATGTCTGCCCTATCAACTTTCGATGTTACTTTCTGCGCCTACCATGGTGACAACGGGTAACGGGGAATCAGGGTTCGATTCCGGAGGGGGAGCCTGAGAAACGGCTACCACATCCAAGGAAGGCAGCAGGCGCGCAAATTACCCACTCCCGACACGGGGAGGTAGTGATGATAAATAACAATACATGACTCTTTCCAGGCCCCGTAATTGGAATGAGTACACTTTAAATCCTTTAACGAGGATCTAGTGAAGGGCAAGTCTGACCCGTGCGTGCTGCAGCTGAAACTCCACTATCGCCTGTTGCTGCTCGCACAGTCTCTCCAGCATGTGCAAGGTGGAGTTCCACCTTGTGGGCAGGTCGCATATGAGGCGGTGAGCGGGAAGGCCAAAGTTACGCTGCAGTGCAGACAGGTGAGCAGCAGCAGGGTGAGAACGCCGAAGACACACACAGCCACTACAGTGAAACTGCGACTGGCTCATTAAATCAGTTATGGTTCATTTGATCGCTCCATCTGTTACTTGGATAACTGTGTTAATTCTAGAGCTAATACATGCCGATGAGCTCTAGGGAACGGCCGCTCCGCTTTTGCACCCTGCTCCCTCTTATGCTGTGCTCGTGCCTCTGTGCGACCACCGCCTCTTCCTCCAAACTTCACACGTCACTCGCATGACCTTCATTCCATGTGGGGTCTAGGACCTCATGATCCTCCACATCATCTTCCACCCACTCCTCAACCCTGCCCTCCTTGCCGGTCTGCACACTGCAGAAAGCCACAGCAGTTGGCACCTGTGTTTTCCAGCATGTAAAGTCGGCAAAGGACATATGGAAATTGTTTTAGAATTGTATCCAGGCAATAGTTTTCCCTATAAACTGACCTCTCAGTTTGACTTGTGAGGGTATTTCCCCAGAATTACAATATTGTTTAAGTACCTCTTAGCTATAGATAACTGGGTTAAATATAGTAGCTTGTTATCTGGTAGTTTCTAGTGTAGAAAATATCAATGTGTTTTCTATCACTTAGATCTGTTTAACAAGTGTTGTAGATGTGAAACAATATTACAATGACCGATGTAGTAAATTCAAATCAAAGTTCCATTTACCAAAAAAAAAATTCTCATCCATCTTCTGTGGGATATTGCATTTTTAAGATGTAGACTTATTGTATCACACTAGCCATGCACAGTTAGATTGTCTGGCACGTTGTTTTGGTGTTTGGTTTTTAACTTTGTACTTGTGTCTTTTCACAATATAGAAATGTATATTAATGCTTCTGTATATGAAGCGATCACAATAACACTTATTTTTCACTTTTGTAAAAAGTCTTTAGACTTTCTTGAGAAGCGGTAACTAGCCAGTGTTGCACACATACACCAGATATGAAGTGCACACCCCAAATGTACTATTTAGCACCTAAAGCATTTGAATTTTTAAAACTGCTATGTCACAGCAGTATTTGAAGGTTCTATTTGACTCTCAGATATGAAGTGCACCGCAGGCCAAATGTACTATTTAGCACCAAAACAAATTGAATTTTTAAAACTGCCATGTCACAGCAGTATTTGACGGTTCTATTTGACTCTCAGACATGAAGTGTCACAAATGTAATATTTATCACCCAAAAAATGTGAATTTTTAAAACTGCGCTGTAACTGTGCTTTAACCACAGTATTTGACGGTTCTATTTGACTCTCAGATATGAAGTGCACCGCAGGTCGCATATGTCCTATTTAGCACCCAAAAAAATTAGAATTTTTAAAAATGCCTTGATGTTGCCCACTGAGCTACCAGAACAGGATTAAAGTAAAGTAATGTGCCTGGCACACATGCAGTTGCAAGTGCACTGCACTCTCTGTGGCACTGGGCTCAGGGCAGGGTCCAAAAATGTAGTATTATAGCACCCACAAAAATAATCGCTATAGTTTGCAGATTCAACACCAGAATTCTTTCCTAATCTGTCCCTCACAGCTGCAGCATCCTCTCCCTACACTAATAAGAGCTCATGTGCGGCGCTACGTGAATCCAGCTTATACATAGAGGCTGGGTCACATGCTGCACATGGCTGTGATGGCTTCTAAAGGCACACAAGTCAAACGCTTGTTGATTGGCTGCCCTGCAGCCTTTCAAAATGCGCCATTAAATCGCAAACTCCAACCCGAACATACACTGATATGTCATGTTCAGGTCCGGGGTCCAAAAACCATAATGTTCGGTACGAACCTGAACTTTACAGTTCGGGTTCGCTCAACTCTAATGCTAGTCAGTCTCACATTAACTCTTTCAGCCATGGAATGTTAGTCAATTTCATATTAGTCCTTGCAATCCATATGCTCTGTATGTGCATGCCCAGCCTGCTACACCTTTTGGTCACTGCAGGAATTATGGTGATGGCATGATCTTGCCACCCCATCGGGTCACAGAAAGTTAGAACCATTGGTCACTTAAGGGGTTTCTCCAGGGGGGCAGGGCCATATACTGGAGACTTCCCAAGGGAGAGAGGCCGAACTCCCAAGGGGCCAGAGGAACCAATCCTCAGGTAAGCCATAAAAGAAAAAGTTTTTAGTCCCAAAGTCTGTCCTAGGGATAGGACAGGAACAAAAAGACTGAGGGTGGGAGGGGTAGGAGGGGTTACTTATACCTTCTGTTTTAATTAGGTTCCTGTCTAATTAGGGATAAGGAGGAGCTACCCTGGACATGGCCAGGAAATATATATATATACACATATCTATCTATCTATAGAGATATATAGTGATCTTAAAGGCACAGCACATTTTTTTCCTGGTATTTTAGTGTGTTTTTAAGCTTAAGTCCATTGAAAAGTGCAGCTTCTTTTATTAGTTTTATTTTAAAAGTTAATAGCGCCATTTTTTACTTGTTTCTATACATATATATATATATATATATATATATATATATATATATTGAATTTACATGAATGTATACTAAGATTTAAAACAACTAGTAAGTTAGATAATAAGATCCACTAATGACTTTGCATATTTATCACAGGCACATTATTAAAAATGTATTCAATAATAATAAAGAACACCAGCAAAATTAAACAAAAAAGCAACTTACTATAATTAGAAGGATAAAATAGATGAAGTTGTAGAAGGAATGTGCATCCATCACAAAATACATAATATCCACCCAGCCTTCCAAAGTTATAACCTGGCAAAAGAGAAAAGAGCCAATATAATTAGCATGATTTGTTTTAACATACTGTTAAAGGGTCTAAGTATGAATATTACTTCTTGAATAATTGGCACTTTTTTATGTGCAATCCCTACACCTCTACTGACTGTCAGTCACTTTGGACTAAAATACGTTCAATAATTTAAAGGAACACTATAGCGTCAGGATACCAACGTATTTCTGACACTATAGTTCTAAAATCGCTGTTAAGGTCTACGGTCACTCTTTGTCCCTATTAAAAAGGTGATTTTACTCACTTTGTTTCCAGCGCCGTGGCTGGCCCAAGTCCAGCCTCCTTGGCTGAGATCATCAGATTTGATAACCTCAGCCAATCCAATGTTTTCCCATAGGAAAGCATTGGGGGGATTGTGTGCATGCACAGCAAAATGCTGCACTGCGACAATCATTATCTCCTCATAGAGATGCATTGAGTCAGCACCTCTATGCAGCGCACGGATTGCAGGCGAGTTAAACTGCAAGTTGAAACTTTTTTTATTTTTATTTTTTTAAAGTAAAGGGGCCTATTATTCCAAACTGATAAACTAACACATACAACTTAAAAATGTATTAATATTTTAAAACAAAGTGTTCCTTTAACACAAGCAAATCAGATTACTTTTGAAGTCATCTAATTCAGATGTTTATATTAGAGATGTGCATGGGCAAAAAATTCAGTTCGGTGCGGACTTCCGAAATTCAGGACTTCGGCACTTCCAAAATTTGGGACTTTGTCAATTCAGGACTTTGACAGTTCCCTAACACTACTCCTAACCTACCCCTACCCCTGCAGACTGCTGAATACACACAGACAAACTGGTGAGTACATGCACACAGTACACTGAATACACACACATAAAAACACACACAGACTGCTGAATACACACAGACAAACTGCTGAATACACAGAGAGACTGCTGAAAACACACACAGACTGCTGAGTACACACACAGAGACTGCTGAGTACATACAGACTGCTAAGTACCCACAGACAGATTGCTGAGTACATACACACAATACACTGGAATACACACACAAAAAACACAAACAGAGACTGCTGAATACACATAGAATGCTGAATACATACATGTATTGCTGAATGCACACAGGCTGCTGAATACACACACACACTGCTGAATACATGCAACATGCTGAATACACACATGCAGACTGCTGAACACACACACATACAGAATGCTGAATACACACACAAGGAGACTGCTGAATGCACACAGACTGCTGAATACACACACAGACTGTTGAACACACACAGACTGCTGAACACACACAGAGAGACTGCTGAATGCACACAGACTGCTGAATACACACAGTCTGCTTCTTTACACACAGGTTGCTTTACACACACACACACAGACTGCTGAATACATACAGACTGCTGAATACAAACACAGAGACTGAATTCACACTGGCTGCAGTGAGAGTTGCAGAGTATGTGTTTGTGTGTATGGGTCCTGTGTGTGTATAGGGATGCTGTGTGTGAGGGGTGCAGTGTGTGTGTGGGGGGGGGGTGCAGTGTGTGAAGGGTGCTGTGTGTGTGTGCGAAGGGTGATGTGTGTATGTGCAAAGGGTGATGTGTGTGTGTGAGGGGTGCTGTGTATGTGTGTCACAGTCCACCAGTCCAAGAGGGCCCACAGCAAGAAGCAGGTCTCCTCTGTCGGCGTGGGCACTGACACACACAAGCTCAATACAAGCAAGGACAGTTGGCAACTATTTATAAAATAAACACATTATCACAAATATAACAATTTTGAGAGTGTCTGCAAGACTAAATAAAGAATGATTAAATAATGGGAAAAATTTATTTTCACATTAGGAATAATAATAATAATAATAAACCATAGCAGATGTAAGAACACTCTCACATGCACAGACTTACTAAGACTTACTAAGACATTATCACAGACACTTACAAATACCTCAGGTACATTTATAAATTGCTCTTATACACACACTTAAACTCTCATAAACAATATCCTGGGCACATAAAAGCCCTAGCTCAGTCACTCTTAAAGGCCAACTTCATCTCATTTTCTCTTCCCAACTTCTCAAGAGCATAGTTATTTTGTGGCCAAATTCATAA